GAGCTGGGCCTGTTGAGCCTGGAGAAGAGAAGACTGAGAGGCGATCTCATCAATGTGTACAAATATCTGCAGGGGGAGTGTCAAGAGGATGAGGCCAGTCTCTTCTCCGTGGTGCCCAGCAACAGGACAAGAGGCAATGGGCAGAAACTGAACCACAGGGAGTTCCATCTGAACCTGAGAAAAAACTTCTTCACTGTGAGGGTGACAGAGCATTGGAACAGGTTGCCCAGAGAGGTAGTGGAGTCTCCTTTGCTGGAGATATTCAAAACCCGTCTGGATGTGATCCTGGGCAATCTGCTCTAGGTGACCCTGCTTGAGCAGGGAGGTTGGACTAGATGATCTCCAGAGGTCCCTTCCAACCTAAACGATCCTGTGATATGTGGCAGGATACAAATCCCATGTGGCTATGGGCTATGTGTGACTTCATTTTTCTTTATTACTACCCTTTATCTGTGAGTAAGCCACTGACTCTTACCCAGATGTCATTGGTGCTTTGAGTGCAACTTACTGAAGGTAGGATTTCTAAATAATACTATTTGGGCCTAATTCTGTATCTCTGTAAATCAGTAGGAATTTTATCACAAACTTCAATGGGAGCAATGAATCCTTCTTGGATTGGATTCCTTCTTGGAATGGACTTTTCTAAGCCCTAATATGCATTATCATCTTCGCTGTTCTTTTTCTTTAATCCGTGCTTAAAACTGAAAGCTCTTCAATACTGATGTTCTTTGTAGTGTTTCCTTAAATAATATAGCTCTAGTACTCTGTTTTGTGGGCTTTTTCTTTTTTATTATTTATAATACACATTTTAAGAAGTCTTTAACTTCTCAGTTCTTTAGAAGTCTGGAGGGTGTTGACATACTTTCACTTTTTTCATTTAAAACAAAACAACCCACCCCAAACTTTCAAATACTTCTTTTGACATAAGTCTAAATCCATGAGCTACTTCTGTTTGCTTTTTGTTTATATGTACTCCTAGAAGGCTCAGTTAGTTTTGTGTATAGTATCTTTACCTGTTCAGTTATGTTTTTATGTGATTTCTTAATTAGTATTTTACATCTATGTATTATGACTTAAGTCCTGGGTTTGTTTTGTTTTGTTTTTTTTTTTTTATGAAGGTGGGAAAGGCATATATTAGAGGTTAAGCATAGCATGTTAGATTTGTGCAAGCTATGTATGTGCTGTTTCTAGAAGTGAAAAAAGTCTATCTGGAGCCAGGGCCAAGATTTATTTTTTTTCTCTCTTTTAAGGACTTAGTTTTAAAAACTAAAACAGTGGGTGTGGCATAGATGAGGAGAAACATTTGCTGAACTGGAAGCTACACCCACTGGAGTTCCTATAGAGTTGTAGCACAAATAACTCCCATCTATTCTCCCCTGCCTATCAGGAACTCTGATGGAAGGCAGCTGAGCTCACTATTGCTTTTTTGTCTGCAGGAGAAAAAAACAAAAAAAAACACACACAAAAAACCCAAACAAATGGAAAACCCAACAACCTGTGGTTTTGTACAGAGCTTTAGTGTAGCAGTATCGTTTAAGCCTCTGCCTTAGTTCACTAAATTTGATTCAAGTTCTACTTTATCTGTTGAATTCTTTTTTTTATTATTATTGGTATCTGATGCATACATCTTATAGTATCTTCAAAATATAAATCTTCTGACAGGCATCTTTTTTCCCTTATATGTGATGGTAAACCACAGGCTAAAATTATATTTTACTCACGGGTATGTGGTTGGACTTGAAATACATGAGATGTATTCTTATATTTATGATGCTACATTTTAAAACATTGGGCAATGTTCAGAATAGCTGAAGTTGGCAGGTAAAAACTACTCTGAGCTAGGTAAGCCTGGCTGCTCTGAGAAACCTCTAGAGGCTAAGCTATATTCTTATAGGTTTTTCTTATTTCCATGCCCTACATAATTATCATTGTTGGCAGACCTCTTTAGTAATTATATCATCATTTGAGATTTTTTTTTTCTACTCTGATCAGAACAAATTCAGTAAAACTAAAATGGCTCACTAGTCTCAAGGTGGCAAAGGTCATGATTATGAATATTATTAATGTCTGTTCCCTGTTTTAGGAAAGACATTTGGAGCAGGACTAATTTTGCATAATTTTAGATGTATTCCATGAAGTTGTCTATATTGGAGCTAGCTATCTTATGCTTCCCTAGGGAAGAGAAACAGGCACTTTGGATTACACCCTAGAAGTGCCTTTTTTCTCTCTGTTGATTATAAGGTGCCTTAGGATGAGGAGCTCAGTTGGAACTCCTCATCATGTTGGAGATGTCTAGTCTGGGATTGTTTATTGACTTTATTTTTTTAATTTATTTTTTCATTTTATTTTGTTTCTTTTTTGTTTCTTTTTTGTATAACCTCACTCTCTTAATTTCTTTCCAGCCTTGGTAGACAAATACCTTCTAAAGGCCTACATATCGGAATTTTCCATGAACCATTTGGTCGTACCATCTGAGGGAGAGGTAAATGAAGAGATGAATGAGTCAGTGGAAGCTGACCTGGAGCACTCGGAGGTAGAAGAGGAACAACAGTATGTGATTTGCTACTCAAGGCACAGAAACAGCTGCCAAGGGATACTGTCTGGGGAGGAAGAGGTGCTAGCTCGATCAGCCAGCACTGAGAGCGGCTTCCACAATCACATGGATGCCGCAGAAGGCGATGTTATAGCTACAGCAGAGGATGGCTATGATGTAGATAGAGCTCAGGAGAATGAGGATGAGAGTACATATGCAGTGCAGTACAGGCCTGAATCTGAGGAGTACATAGAAAATGCTGAGGCAGAGCATACTGAGGCCATTCATAATCAAACGCTGCCTGATCACGTACGTTTCCATTCAATCGAACATGAGGAAGCCATGAATGCAGCATACTCGGGTTATGTCTATGCTCACCAGCCCTTCCACCAAGGAGAGGATGAGCGGTATGCCGAGCCCTATGCTGACTATAGGCTGCAGGAGCATGTGTATGAGGAGATAGGGGATGTGCCAGACCTTAATGTCAGGGAGGGGCTTCAGCTCTATGAGCGGGAAAGGGAGGAAGCTGACAACTATCGAACGGAAGCTCTTGGTGCCCGCCTTCATCATTATGATGAGCGATCTGATGGAGAGTCTGACAGCCCTGAGAAGGAGGCAGAGTTTGCGCCATATCCAAGAATGGACAGCTACGAACAAGAGGAAGATATTGATCACATTGTGGCAGAGGTGAAACAGAGCATGAGCTCTCAGAGCTTGGACAAGGCTGCTGAAGATATGCCAGAGGCAGAACAGAGTTTGGAGCACGCTCATGCCCTCCCTGGCAGGGGACACAAAAGCAATGGTCAACTGTTAGCTAGTTCTAGAGCCACAGCCAACTCAGGAGAGTTGATACAGAGGTACAGCAAGGAAAAAAGGGATGCGATATCACTGGCCATCAAAGATATTAAAGAGGCTATTGAGGAAGTGAAGACAAGGACTGTTCGTTCTCCTTATACCCCTGATGAACCAAAAGAACCTATTTGGGTGATGAGGCAGGACATTAGCCCAACCAGGGACTGTGATGATCAGAGGCCGATAGATGGAGGTGTAAGTATACAAAGCTATTGGCTCGCATATTACAATTAAAGGAATGGGGTCTATTTAATATATGTTACAGTGCAACTGAATAGGTTATACTCTTCTGTGACTCATTGTATTCCTCACTGAAGTATATAATGTTTTGTGTATTTTAAATTTGTACTCTAAAGGATGCATAAGGAATATACATGTTTTCAGTGTGCCAAAATTTCCTTTATGAAACACTGCTGACTTCATTACAGTTATACTAGAGGTGAATTTGACACAGAAAGCTCTACTGACTTTTTTCTGAAATAAGTGTTATTACTTTTTTCTAACATCCACTGGATAATTAGAATAGCTACTAAATAACTTACCTTATAAGGTATAGAACCTTGTGTGTTCCTGTTAATTCTCAACTTGTAAGTTTTGTTTTCTGTCAGATAATAATGCTAACAGTATCTATTAGCAACTTGTTAATATTTATGATTTTTATAAAGGTAATATCACAGCTACAGATCTGAACAGATTCAGGCTCCTTATCTGCTTGCAGTCTACAGAGATTTCACAGAATCACAGAATGCCCAAGGTTGGAAGGGACCTCTGGAGATCATCTAGTCCAACGCCCTCTGCTCAAGCAGGGTCACCTAGAGCACATTGCCCAGGATCGCGTCCAGGCAGGTTTTGAATATCTCCAGTGAAGGAGACTTCACAACCTTTCTGGGCAACCTGTTCCAGTGCTCAGTCACCCTCAGAGGAAAGAAGTTTTTCCTCAGGTTCAGATGGAACTGCCTGTGTTTCAGTTTGTGCCCGTTGCCTCTTGTCCTGTCACTAGGCACCACTGAGAAGAGTTTGGACCCATCCTCTCGACACCCTCCCTTCAGATACTTGTACACGTTGATGAGATTGCCTCTCAGTCTTCTCTTCTCCAGGCTGAGCAGTCCCAGCTCTCAGCTTTTCTTCATAGGAGAGATGCTCCAGTCCCCTCATCATCTTTGTAGCCCTCCGCTGGACTCTCTCCAGGAGTGCCATGTCTCTCTTGCACTGGGGAGCCCAGAACTGGAGACAGCACTCCAGGTGAGGCCTCACCAGGGCTAGGTAGAGGGGCAGGATCACCTCCCTTGACCTGCTGGCAAGACTCTGCCTAACGCACCCCAGGATGCCATTGAGCCAGCAATGTGCCCTTGTGGCCAAGAAGGTCATGGTTAACTTGTCCACCAGGACTCCCAGGTCCTCCTCTGCAGAGCTGCTTTCCAGCAGGTCAGCCCCCAGCCTGTACTGGTGCCTGGGGTTATTCTTCCCCAGGTGCAGGACCCTGAAGTTCCTCTCCACCCACCTCTCCAGCCTGTCCAGGTCCCTCTGAAGGGCAGCACAGTCTTCTGGTGTGTCAGCCACTCCCCCCAGTTTAGTATCATCAGCAAACTTGCTGAGGGTGCACTCTGTCCCTTCCTCCAGGTCATTGAGGAATACATTGAACAAGACTGGACCCAGGACTGACCCCTGGGGGACACC